CGCGGCAGGCTCCCTGACGGCCGCAGCCGGCCTCCGCTTGCTCAAGCCGCCCGCGGCGCCCTCCAGGTCGGACTCGTTCGTCTCCTGGCTGCTCTCCCTTTCGCCGTCCTCGCTGTCGTCGCGGGCGCGGGCCCCCTCGGCCTCGTCCTCGCCCTCCTCCTCGTCCTCCTCCTCGTCCGCTGCCGCCGGCCTCTTCGGCGCTGCCGCTGGCCGCTTCTTCGCCCCGCCCTTCGGGTGAGCCTGCTGCGGCTTGACTGCCTTCCCTCGGCCCCCCTGCTCCGCGGCCTGCAGGGCGGCGTTCGCCACGAGCGTCTCGACCGCCTCACCGTCGACAGCGATCACGGCGAAGCCCTTGGTGCCCTGGCGAAGACGGAACAGCTCTTCCTTGAGCCCGAGCCACGCCTCGGGGCAGCGCCGAGCCCTCGCGATTTCTCCATCGTGTTGTAATCCATCCAGTCTTCGTCCTCCTTGAAGGTCGCTGTCTTCTCGGCCTGGTAGCTCGCCCCCTTTTGCGCTTCGGCGGCGCGTGTGTGTGTGTGTGTGTGTGTGTGTGTATGTGTGTGTGTGTGTGTGTGCGTGTGTGCGTGCGTGTGTGTGTGTGTGTGTGCGTGCGTGCGTGCGTGCGTGCGTGCGTGCGTGCGTGCGTGCGTGTGCGTGTGTGTGTGTGGTGTGTGTGTGTAGTTGGTGTGTCGTCGTGTGTGTGTGTGTGTGTGTGTGTGTTGTGTGTGTGTTGCGTGCGTCGTGCGTGCGTGCGTGCGTGCGCGCGGGCGTTCGGCGTGCGTGCGCGGCGCGCGTAGCGCGCGCGCGCGCCGCGTGCGTGCGTGCGTCGCCGGTGCGTGCTGAGATGGCAGCGTGCGTGCGTTGCGTGCTGTGAGTGCGTGCCGTGCGTGCGTGCGTGGTTGCGCTGCGTGCTGTGCGTGCGTGCGTGCGTGCGTGCGTGCGTGCGTGCATGTGCAGCTGCGTGCGTGCGTGTGTGTGTGGTTGTGTTGTGTGTGTGTGTTGTGTGTGTGTGTGTGTGCGCTTGCGCGGTGTGCGTGCTGTGTGGGGCGGGGGGGGGGGGTGGGAGGATGGGGCGCGGGGAGAGAGAGAGAGAGAGAGAGAGAGAGAGAGAGAGAGAGAGAGAAGAGAGAGGAGAGAGAGATACCACCAAAAAAAGAGAGAGAGAAGAGAGAGAGAAGAGAGAGAGAGAGAGAGAGAAAAACAAAAAAGAAAGAAGAGAGAGAGAGAGAGAGAGAAGAGAGAGAGCAGAGAGAGAGAGAGAGGAGACTAAGGAGAGCAAGAGAGAGAGGAGAGAGGAGAGAGATGAGAGAGCGAGAGAGAGAGAGAGCGAGAGACAGAGAGAGAGACGAGAGAGCAGAGGGCCGTTTTCATATCGATCTCTCTCTCTCTTCTCTCTCTCTCTCTCTCTCTCTCTCTCTCTCCATGCCTCTCTCTCTCATGTATGGTACAGGGCGAAGCGCAAGCGCCGCGCGGGCCTTCCTCGTGCTCGGCGGGCTGCTGGCCACGGTCTCCTGCGACGGGCTCGATGTGCACCCCCTCGCCGCCCTTGCGCTTCCGCGGGGGGCTCCTCGCGCCATATAGGGCCAGGATCGCCGCGCCCTGGTCCGCCGCGCTGGGCCCGGCGCCGCCCGGGGCGGCCGACGCCGCCCCCGGGCTGCCACGAAGCTTTGCTGAGCTCGGCGGCGTCGAGGCGGGCGAGTGCTGTCCGCCGCCCACGGCTTCCGCCTTCCTGGCGTGGATCACCGTCTGCACCGCGGGAGGGGGGCGCTGCAACTCGTTGTTGCCGATCCTCTCGTTGCACCACGACAGCGCCTCTACCATCATTTTTGCCCGCGCCGAGGACGCAGGGCCCGCCTCCCCGAGCACCTCCTTCAGACCCTCCTGGAGGTCCTTCGCGGACAACCTCGCCGTCCGCCCATTCACGCTCGCCAGGAAGTTCACGTTCTTGCGCGCGATGTCCTCGTAGCTGCCCGCGCAGTGGAATCCCAGGATCTCGCCCTGCCACTTGCGGATGATCCCGTTCAAATCCTCCTGGGCGATCTCCACTTTCGCACGCCCCGACGCCACGCGAGCGGCCCCGCGCCGAGGTGGGGGGGACCGTTTCCGCGGCCCCTCGATGGCAGACTGCGGCGGCGATGGGGAGGTTAGATGCGCCGCCGTCGTCGCTCCTAGGAGGCGCGGCCCCCACGTCCGCATGCTCGCCCCGCCCCGTTCCTCTTCCCCCCCCCCCCCGTGCAGGAGGCGCGGCCCCCTCGTTCTTCGCCTCCATGACAAGAAGTCAACTTCCGCCCCTGCGAGATCGACGCGATGCCCTGGAGGGGGCGACGCCCGCTTCACGCGCCAAGACCGCTCGCACATGCAGCGCGTGGCTCGCCGCAGGAGGCGCGGCCTCCTCCGCGCGCGAATAAAAGATTCCATCACAGGAGAAGTGCGCCTCCTCATGGGGCAACATCGCGCCGTCGTCGTCATTAAGATGTACGCGTCGCTACAGGTTTAGCGACGATCGTCGCTAAAGTTTGGCGTCGACGCTAAATTTACGGCCGACTACTACTAAATAAGCAGATGCACTAAATAAGCATAGATGGACTTACATGGTGGTGATCCCACGTTAGTCCCGTACTTGACCCGTGGTTGTCCCATGGTTGTCCCGTGGTTGTCCCGTCGGCGCCCCTCGGTTGCCCCTCCTGTCACACGGCTGTCTGCGGCCGCCCCGTCGATCAACGTATTGCGAGACTGGTGTGCCGGTAGTGGGACAGATACGCATATCTGTTCAATCACAGCGGTATAAGATCATAGATCGTAGGGCTTGAAGGTCGTGGGACCGATGGATAAGAGCTTGATGGTTGGACCGGAACATACAGAGCGAGACAGCACAATTGAAGGTACGTCGGCAGAATAAAAGCGGTTAACTAGATCTACACATGTATACAAGTGCAAATAAACATATCGCGAGCGCGGTCCGACGCCATTCGAAGACCCCAACCTGCACCCATCCCCCCCCCCCCCACATACCTCCTTATCACCCGAAGGCGCATCATGGCCGTGACTTCCCACTCCAACGCGCCGCCCTGCTCGGTCACTAAGAGCCCCCGGGGTTCTCGCTAGCATTGCTTAAATGGAAAAAGCCGAGGCCCCTGTTTAGCAGGGCGGTCGCTTTAGCGCCGCAACAAACAAAAAGGGGAGGGACATGCGGGGCGAAAAAAAAAGAGAGGCGCTAAGAAGAGTTGGGAGGACAACAGATGGAACAAGTGCGCCTAAGTGCGAATGTGTCTAAGTGTGAGCGCGCGTGCACGTGAGAGCAATGTCAGAGTGCGCGCGTGTGTCTGATTGTGTCTGAGTGCGAGCGAGTGCGAGCGCGTCTGACTCTAACTATCGTAGGGTGCCTGAGTGGGGCCTGAATATGAGCGCGAGCGCGCCCACGTGCGAATGTGTCTGAGAGGAACAAGTCTGGGCGAAGTGGGCTAAGTGAGTCTGGGTGCGGTTGACTCTGACCAGGACTGAATCGATTTGTTCACCGAGAGCTGAAAGCTGAGTGCTGACCTCGCGCGAAAGCTGAACCCTCCTCTATGCTCCCAACTCGCAATGAGGCGGCGAGATCGCTCGAGGCCAAGCTGGGTGCGCTGAGCCTGCTGCGCTGAGAGTTGGCCTGAGGAGCTAAGGGTAAACTTTGCCCTCCAGCCCCCCCTGAGGCGTGGCTCTGAACGGCGATGCAGACCTGCGCTGAAACAACCTGCGCCGAAAATTGGCCGTCGAACAGATCCTAGAAGTGGCCGCGCGCTGGAACTGAGCGCTGTCCCTCACTGAGAAAGATCTCTGAGCTCTGTAAGTGGAAAATCCTTGGTCTGAGAAAATAAAACCTGATCCTGCCCCCTGCTGTCCGTCTCCCCCCCTCGCAATCTGACTCATCCCTGCTCTCCCTGAGGCCCTGCGCAGACAGCCCCGCGGGGCCTGAGTGGCCCGGGCGACCGTGGCGGTCCTGAGGTCAGGCTCACTTCACGCCCTGAGGGCGAAGAAAAATCGATCTGCTGCTCGACTGGGGACTGCGCGGCCACGGCTGAGACCTGCGCGGTCTGATCGTGCCCGCCGCTGAGGCTGTGGAGCTCCTGGTGCCACTGCGTCGTCAGCTGCTGCCTGAGGGCGTAGATCGTCGGCGCGTCCGCGCCTGACTCCTGGACCGCGAAATTGACAATGGCAGCGAGTTGGACCGACGCAGCTGACGTCCTCGCGCGCTGAAAGAAGTTCCGGGCGCACTTCGCGCGCGGCCGAAGGATCTGCCTGGGCGCGCATGGGGCGCCCCGTGTCAGATCCCACTCCGCGATTGCCTGCTTCATCTGCCGACTGCATTCGTAGGGGCTGAATTCGGCGCACATGAACCGCAATTTGACGAAGCTGAGCCGTTGGCTGATCCCTGGCGCCATCTCCGAATCGAACAGCTGGGTGCCATGCGTGGCCTGCGCCTCATGACAGACGCTGAAGAGGATGTGGGCGCTGATCCCCAGGAGGCCGACCTAAAGGCAACCGACGCAGAGCTGCACATGGTAGCCATTCTGGGCCCTCCCCCGGCCCACTCCGAAAGATATATACATCTATCTATATATGTATATACACGCATACATGCATATATACATGTACATACACAACGCCCGCACAAATATACAACGCCCGCACACATGTATATCCACATATATGTATATATAGTTGTGTATGTATGTATGTATGTACGTACGTACGCACGTACGTATGCATGTATGTATGTATGTATGTATGTATGCATGTATGTATGTTTGTATGTATGTTTGTTTGTTTGTATGTATGTATGTATGTTTGCATAAATATCTACATATATGCATACATACATACATACAGCATTCAAGTGTATATATACACAATGCCCGCACACACGCACACACACACAAAACATCCACAGAGGTCCTCGGCGGGCGGGCCGTCCGCGGCGGGCCCTCGACGGCGGGTGTCCTGGCCCTCCCCCCCTGGCGCGCCGCGCGTGCTGGACGCACAGCGCGAGCAGGCTCGACAGCAGCGGCGCGGAGACCTCCGCGCTGCCGCCCCCGAACAGCCTCGCTGGGCGCGCTCAGGCGGCCGCGCTCCTCCTCCTCCCCCTCCTCCTCCTCCTCCTCCTCCTCCTCCTCCTTCTCCTTCTCTTCCCCTTTTTCCTCGTCCTCGTCCTCGTCCTCGTCCTCGTCCTCCTCCTCCTCCTCCTCCTCCTCATCATACACCTACACCGATCCTGGCCAGACCGACCCTGGGCCAAGAATCGGTGCAAATCTCGCCAGCGTTCGGACGTCCGTTCCTGCGTGATTCGGCTCCGCGCCCTCATCTCTCCGCAAGATGCTCCTCGAGGGTCCTCGCCGAAGCAAACATGCACGACATGGTATATGCCTTCCTCGCCGAACCATGAGTGCGTGTACTCCTCTCCTGGTCGCAGGATGGGCCGTGTCAGGATCGGTGTAGGCGTAAAGTTGGCGCTCTCCGACCCCAGGACCCCCCCCCCCGGGGAGGAGCTCCTGCCACACGATGCGATTCTGCGATGCTGGCTGTTTCCCTCGGCCCACACGAGAGGGGGAGAGAGGGGGAGGAAGAGAGGGAGGTGGGAAGAGAGTGCGTTTTTTTTCAGGAAGGGGCTTCCCGGCTCCAGGAGGCCCACGGGAGGGACCCTAGGGGGCCCCCCAGGAGGGCCTCATGCCCAGATCTCTGACGATATGAGCGACGAAAAGAAACTTGCCTTACGCAAGATGACGTAGCGACCTCACGCCTCGGCTTACGCGGGCCGCCATCGTGGCACGCTACGCTGGGAGACGAAGGTGCCTACGCGCGACCTGACGCGGGGAACCTACCCGCCAATGCCGGTGAAAACGACATCGTTTTCTGAGTCGCTCACATGAGTTTGCGATCCCAGGGTTTTTCCTTGGTTGTTACGGCCAGGGAGGTGCAGGCGGGAGGGAGTCGTAAACGCACTCGTCGCCATCATCACCATCGTCGTCGTCATCGTCGTCATGCAAGACGTCGCCGTTATTCTCTCATCTTCGGGGCGGCGTTCGCGATCAGCTCTGCGGAGCTCGGGGGTAGGGGCTCTGGACGATATGATTTTGCTACCCTGGCTTTTAGTTTACGGCGTCAGAGCTAAGGACCCCCAGCCCGTTGACAAACGGCGTCGTGGAACAAAACAGAAACACATGACGTCGCGGAGACATCACGGCGGGGGCTCCCGACCCCGATTGGTCGTGCACCACTCCTCGTCTCCCTCTGCCTCGAGGAGGAGGAGGAGGAGGAAAAGGAGGATGAGGAGGAAAAGGAGGAGGAGGAGGAGGAGGAGGAGGAGGAGGAGGAGGAGGAGAGAGGGGGGAGGAGGCGGAGAGGGAGATGTAGAGGAAGAGGGAGGCGGAGGGCGGAGTATCGGATCGGACTGGACACCCAAACACCCGACGATGTCTTTTCCCATGCGTGGCCTCTGAAGGACCCCTTCCCAAGGGTAGTTTCGTGCCTCAGCTCCATTCCTGAAGACCCCAAAGGGCCGAAATCTAGGAGAAACTTCCCGATCAAACATATCATGTCGTCGGAGATGTGGGCACACCGAGGCAGGAAACTAGCGGGCTGGCTCTGGCCGTCACCCGGCAGTCTCGGTTTCTGCCTCAATGGCCCGCGTTCAAGACCTGGGCGAAGCATACCGGGATCCGGGGCGAGAAAGTGCCCGGGCGAACAAGACGTGGAGTCGGGGCGCATCAGACACTGGGTCTGGGCGGATCAGACACGGACCTGGGCGAAGGAGGCCTGGATCTGGTGGCAGGGGTCGGGAACTCCGGGGCCGCGCGCGGCGAACATCGCACCGTCGGAGGCCTGGGCGGAGGCCCGGAGAAGCGCCGGGAGGGCCCCCGGGGGCCCCAGGAAGGCCCAGCCTGGCCCCAGGGGCGCGGTGCCGCCAGGGCCCTGGTGCCCCAGGAAGGCCCTGGTGCCCCAGGAGGCGGGGCCGCGCCGAGCCCCTGCCCCAGGGCCAGGGCCCCGTAGACCCGGAGACGCTAGACCCGGACACCCAGCATCCCGCGAAGTCCATGTTTCCAGTAGCCGGCACGAGCAGGGCACTGCACTGCAACGCCTCCAAAATAGACCCGGGCACGGGCCCCCAAAGCCTGCAAGGCGCCCGTAAAAACCAGGACACGGACCCGAATCCTGCAGCGCAACAAACAGAGAGCATGCACGGGTGCTGAAACATGCCACTTGGCAAAGAAAGGGTGTCGTTTCATTGGCTTTCCGTGTCCTGGCTCCTGGCTTACCTGTGTCCTGGTCTCCGGGGGCCTGGCAGGGGTGCCCTGGGAGGCCCCCGGAAGGCTCCCCGGGCTGCCCGCCCCGGAGCAAGCCGACCGACGGGAACGGCCCGCCCCCAGGCTGACCACACGACCGGGGGCAAAGAAGGGGCCCGGGGACACGCAAACAAACACACACACATACTCACACACACACACAAATCCCAGGTCCCGATCTTTGTCAACACCTTCTGGCATGTCGCCTTCCCCCACCCACTTCCTTCGGTGGCAACTCATGGGAGCCTCCCCTGGCATCTTGTCGGCTCTTGCGAATCGACGCCAATTAGTCGACGCTAAATCAACGCTAATCCACGCTGAGTCGACACGTGATCGAAGCTAACCGACGCTAAATCGGCGCAATATTATGGACTGCCAGAAGCTAATCGACGCTAAAGACGGAATTGGGATGGTCTACCAGGCTCCCATAATTTGCTACCGCAAGAAACTTCCCATATTTTCCCATGTGTTCCCGGGATCGTCGGTGAATCGTGTCTGTGTTTTTTCCCTCCTGACAGGAGCCTCGCAGCTTGGTCCAGCACCTCGACGAAGAGGTCGACGGCAAGGGGGTCTATGTGGACCGCGGCGTCCGCCAGCTTGAGCGCCTGCCGCAGGCACCTGCCCCCCAGGCTCGCGGCGAGTGTCTCGCAAGGAGGCCCTGCTCCTCCTCCTCCTACTCCTACTCCTTCTCCTCCTTCTCTGCCTCCTCCTCCTCCTCCTCCACCTCCACATCCTCCTCCTCCTCCTCCTCCTCCGCCTCCTCATCCTCCTGCTCTGAGCAAGGCTGCAATAGAGATCCGCGGTAAAACACCCTGCTGTGAGCAATCTTGGGGCACCGTCTTCCCAGACCCCCTCGGGTCATGACAAAATCACGACGGGAGGTTTTTCGCTACGTTCGGCCTCGGGGGGGCCCTTCCTGGGCCCCAGAAACGGCCAAAGTCGACTCAGGACGGAAAACCGGTACCCGGGACGGGGTCCAGAACTCTGGGAGTCGACGTCATTCAAACATCATGACATCGGGGGTCTGGGTATGGGGAGGTGGGAAGGCTTCTACGGCAGGTTCGTGTCGTGCCGACCCCAGCGTTGGTTTTTGACACCGCAGGGATCGTTCAACCTTGAACGATCGGCCGCTGCCGCAACGTCCGATCGTTCAACATCGATCGATTCTGGGTCGCCGGCGGCGTTCAACCTTGAAAGCCGCTGGCGGGGTCGCCGCTGGTCGACACGACGCAAACCTACCGTAAGAAGAAGGCTGCTTCTTAGAGGGCGCGGGCCTTATTTATGGATACAGGGCCGGCGCCTTCTAAGAAGCAGCCTCCTTCTAAGCAGCCCGTCCCCCCTTCCCCCTGACCCCTTGCGCGCGCCGCCAAATGACGCCACGCTAGAGAAGGGGTCCAGAACTCTGGGGGCCGACGTCGTGAAAAAATCGTGACGTTGGTAGGAAGGTACCAACTATACACCAACACCGATCCTGGCCCAGGATCACCCTGGGCCCAGGATCAGTGTATACGCCCTCCTGCCTTGCGCAAGAAGGCATATACACCGATCCTGGGCCCAGGGTGATCCTGGGCCAGGATCGGTGTTGGTGTATAGTTGGTGCCCTCCGAGTTGGGGGTCTGGGTTCGTCGATCTTTTGGAGGGTTCTGAGGTGGCCCAGAGCTCCTGCGGGTCGCCGGGGCCATCGGGGGAGAAAGAAATCCCGCCGGCCCGGCTGGGCGGAGGTGGTTTATAGGATTTCCTCTTCGATCTTCACCTTCTTCCCCTTCGGGGAGGGGCTTATCACTACTCCTTGTAGATCTGCACCCCCTCCCCCACCCGACCAGCGGCAAGCCTAGGGCCAATGTGGGCACGCCCCTCGCCATGCCCGTCAAAGAACAGATGCAAGGAAGCTGCGTTCCGCGGCCAAATCCGGACCCTGCGCGGGCACCCCGCGATCACTTCTGCATTGGTTTCTGACAGGGAGGGCAGGGGTGCTGGCATCTTGCCTGATGTGCGCAGCAGGGCTGAACCTAAACGGTGTTTTTCGTTTTCGTTTTTTGTTTTCGTTTTCCCTCGTTGTGTTTTCAATCCGCCTCTACCGTAAAACGAAATCGAAACGAAAACGGCCCACGAAGTCGCCAAAACACCGTTTAGGTCCAGCACTGGTGCTGCCATCTTGCCTGATGTGTGCAAGCCCACCAGGCATCATGATGGCAACTACGCCGCGACTGCGCATTGGTCTTCGGCAAGGATGGGTGGGGGCACCTCGCTCCAGTGTCGCGCACCTGGGGCCCGTACTGGTTCCCGGTGGCCTTCCACCAGAGACGACCGCTGAATACGCCGAGACCCTGGTACTACTGATGTGTTGGGAGGGCGGGTTGGAGTGAGTCAAGCAGTTTGCGTCTAGGAGAAGCGTCTTGATCACTCACATCCCCTCCCCCACCCGACCAGCGACACACCTGGGCCAATGTCGACCCCCCCCCCCCCGCCACCATCCCTTTCAAAAACCACGCCAAAGTTACCTGGGGATGAGGAGCATACTTACACAATCCTTGCGCCAAACTCTGGATCATGCGCAGACGTCCCGCGATGGCTTTGACTTGTTTTCTGGGACAAGGACGGCGGAGGAGGGGGCAAGCACATAGCCTGCTGTGCGCAACGCCAACACACCCAACCATACCGTGCAAAAAAACATACCAAGTGCACGTTGCACAAACATCTGGATCAGGCGCGGACGCCCCGCGATCACTGCGCATGGTTTTCCCAACCAGTATGTGGTGTTGGGTCCTCGTTTTGAAGAGACGGTCCCCGCGTTCCTCCTTCCTTCCTTCCTTCCGTCCTTCCTTCCTTCCTTCCTTCCTTCCTTCCTCCTCCCTTTCACCCACCCAGTACAGCGCTTCGTAGCCCCATAGGGAGCTCCACCGAAGGCTCCAGTGGGGCCGCCCGCATGCGTCATCCACCACCCAGCACAGCACTTCGTGGCCCCATAGGGGGCTCCACCGAAGGCCCCAGTGGGACCGCCCGCATGCGTCATCCACCTCCCAGTACAGCACTTCGTGACCCCACATGGGGGCTCCACCGAAGGCTCCAGTTGGACCGCCCGCATGCGTCACCCACCACCCAGCACAGCGCTTCGTGGCCCCATAGGGAGCTCCACCAATCGCCCCAGTGGGACCGCCCGCATGCGTCATCCACCACCCAGCACGGCACTTCGTGGCTCCATAGGGAGCTCCACCGAAGGCTTTAGTGGGACCGCCCGCATGCGTCATCCACCACCCAGTACAACGTTTCGTGGCCCCATGGAGGGCTCCACCGAAGGCCCCAGTGGGACCGCCCGCATGCGCTATCCACCTCCCAGTACAGCGTTTCGTGGCCCCATAGGCAGCTCCACCGAAGGCCCCAGTGGGACCGCCCGCATGCGTCATCGACCGCGCAGCACAGCGTTTCGTGACCCCATAGGGAGCTCCAGAGAGCGGCTTGGGCGATTGGAGTGATACGTGCAAGTGGCGAGGCACACCAACTGGTAGCAGTGATGCGTGGAGTGGTCCACGGTACTTTTCCTCAGACGCCCGCGATGTCTGAGCACGTAGGAATTGCTCTGTGCGGCCAGGTGGCGAACGGTCCGTCGGTGCTCGGAGCAGATTGCACGGCAGCGATCAAGATAACACAGCGCAGCGTGAAGCAACATATTGCGGCCTCATCGGAATTCGCTGACATCCGTCATTTCGCGCTCTCTCTTGAAGGCACTCAATGGCTCCAGGAGATAAGGCATGTCAAAGCCCACAGATCACAGGAGGCCATCGATGCCATCCCCGATGCATGCGAGAGAGTTTGTAGTTGCGAGTTCAGCTGTTGATCACCATGCCAAGAAGGCACTGATGTGCCACGAGGGTGCGGATCCTCAGTTCCTTTCCTCGCTCAACCTCGCCCTCGAGAGAGCGAGTAATTTTGTCAAGATTGCTGCTACCACGCTGCCGCTCTTTCAGAACGATGTCAGGTGGCCCAGGCCCCCCCGAGCTGCGCGTCGAGGCATGTCCCGAATGAAAGTTGGCTGGCACCAGTGGGAAGATGGACCTGCTGGACTTCACTGCAGGCGCTGCCTGCAACTAGGCGGGAACTCTCGTTCGCAGTTAGAGCTGACTGGCTGTCGTGGTGTAGCCCCTCTTCTTGCTAAACTGCTCAAAGATTCCCAAAGGCACCTCGTCGTTGCGGCCGGCCAATCTCGGAGTCCTGCATCGGTTGATGTGGTGACTGCGATCCCTGAAAATCAAAGTTATGTGTTATGTCTGTTTGAAGTGTGGAGGGGGGTCCCATGGTCGTGCTTTTAAGTTGGCTGGCCCTTTTTATGCCCACCACCAATAAGGGTCAGCAAGAGATACATCGGTTTAACAAATGGAGGCCGCCTAATCGCAAGTGTAGGGCGTTTCTCGATTGTACTGTTCCCATTGTTCGGTTGGCCCGTAAGCGTCTGGCGGTGTCCCAACCCTGTAGCAGTCTCCCGTTATCTGACTCTACGGTGGTAGATACTCCGTCGGCATCAGGGGCCGCCCCTCCATATCAGGTGCGGTTGGCAGCTCTTGTGGAGAGAGTTCGTGACAAGGAAGCCTCAGCTCGAGGTCAGTAACGTGAACGCGAGCTCATCATTTAGTGCTGTGCGCTTCCCCGCCGGGGCATTCCATTCCATTATATTCCCCCTTCGCCTCCTCCTCCTCCTCCTCCTCCTCCTCCCCCGATTCCTCCCCCACTTGGGGTATGATGGCTTCCCCAGCCCTCTGTTCCACTATGTTCCACTGTATGCTCCTCCATATCCCTCATCAGAGCAGCTGGCCTGGGCACCGCTTCTGGGTGGGCTGCTGGGGTTAACGCGAAGCGTCCAGGGGCACCTGCTGGCAAACCGATGTTACATTTGACGTGCCTACTGTACTCCCGCAGTCCTAGGGTTAAGTCGGGCCTGTCCCCCTGCAGGGGGATTTTGGGCGACAAATTATACATACCCCCAAAAAATACCCCCAACATGCTCAAAAATAGTGAAAAAATAGTCCCCCAGACTATTTTTTGACTATTTTGTAATATTCCTCCTGTAGAGGGACAGGCCCGACTTAATCCCAGGGTCTTGGACCCTCCACGGCAAAATGGAGGTCACCTGACCCTTCGGGCCGAACCGACGGCGTGAGCCTCCAACCTGCGATCACCATGCGACGAAGCCGGACGGCGGACGACGGACGACGGTCTACCACGGTCGACGACGACGACGACGACAACGCCGGCGAAGAGGACGACGACTGCGACGACGGCGACGACGACGACGACTGCGGGCGACGGACGACAGCGTCAACGACGGCGTCGAAGATACCGTCGACGACGGCGGCGCCAGTCGCTGAAGGCCTTCGGCAGTCCCTGGAGGTCCGCACCCGAGTGCTTTGTAGGCCCATGGACTGCCGAACAATTGTTTCTCTTCTCAAGCACTTTCGACGCGATTCTCGATCCACCGCCCTCGAACATCGAAGCTCGATCCTCAAACCTCGACCCTTGAACCTCGATGCTATAACCTTGAGCCTCCTGCCTCCTGGCACCCGCTCAAAACCAAACCCTGACCCGTCCCTGGGGAAAAACTGGCAAGTTTTTCGAGCTGGCGCCCCACATCAGAACCCTCCAAGACGATCCTCCGATCCTTGAACCTCGATCCTCGACCCTCGATCCTCCACCCTCGATCCATCTTCCTCCACCCTCGAGTGTCGAACCGTGGGACGAGTATCGAGGCCGACGTCGCCGTAGGCAACTGCATGTGAACCCTACCCCTGCAGGCCAGACTTCTGGAAAACTCTCTGGGATTCATGATTCGAAGGATGTCTGCAGCCAAGTGGACCCCGCCGGGGTGTCCGATGTACAGGCGTTCTTTTATTCTTGGTTTCGACGGTTGACTGAAGGTTGGGGGATGGGGGGGGGTCTGGGTCTGGGCTCGTGCTCAGTCGATCCATGTTTGCCAGTCGCGCCGGCAGACTCAGGGGCAGGGCTCCTGACCAGTCGCCAGAAGCAGCCCAAGCTCTGGCCCATGGAGGGGGTGGGAGGGGAGAGGCCAGGGGTCCGCGCCGATCGGCGAAACGATGAATAGGGCAACGGCGACTATCCCAGCGTCGACTGGACCCGTAGGAGCAGGGTTCGCAAGCGGTCGCAGAGATGGACGACGACGATCGATGAGCGGCAGCGCCTCAGCGCGCCGTGGGACTCGCGCCGCGCCGGGCACCAGAAGAGCAGGGCGCACGCGCACAGCGCGCGGCTCTGCAGCCGCTTGGCCGGCAGCTCGCCGCCAATCCGCATCGCCCGATCCTCGGGCGATGCGCGGGGGATCGAGAACGAGGATCGAGGAGGAGGAGGAGCAGCAGGAGCAGGAGGAAGAGGAGGAGGAGGAGGAGGAGGAGCGAGGAGGATCGAGGAGGAGGAGTAGGAGGAGGAGGAGCAGGAGGAGGAGCAGGAGGAGGAGCGAGGAGGAGCGAGGAGGAGCGAGGAGGAGCGAGGAGGAGGAGGAGGAGGAGGAGGAGGAGGAGCGAGGGATCGAGGGAGCGAGGGCCAGGGTCCAGAGATCGGGGCCCGAGGACCGAGGATCGAGATCCGAGGAAGTAGTTCCGAGGGTCGAGGCCCCGAGATCGAGGCTCGAGGGCCGAGATGCGAGGCTTGGGGATCGAGGATCGAGATCGATCCTTGAACCTCGTGTCTCGATCTCGGGGCCCTCGAGCCCCGAGATCGAGGCTCGAGGGCCCCGAGATCGAGACACGAGGCTCAAGGATCGAGGCTCGAGGAGCGAGGGCGGGGATGGGGGGTCGAGGAGCGAGGGCGAGAAGAAGTGTCCGAGGCTCGCGGAGCGAGGATCGAGGGATCGAGGGATCGAGGGATCGGGCCTGAGGATCGAGACTCCAGGGGTAGGGCCCGAGGAATCGAGGCTCGAGGATCGGTCTCGGAGGCTCGAGGCTTGAGGATGGCGGTCCGAGGATGGAGGTCCGAGGATCGAGGGATCGGGTCTGAGGATCGAGACTACAGGGCAGTTTTTAAAACATAGGATTTCATGCATGAGCTCATCGTTGTCTTTAACACTAAACCCTGCACTTTTAATACATGATCCGCACGCGGAGCATGTATAAAAAACGGCACTGTACGGGGAGAGGGCCCGATGTTTTGTCCGCGAGGCGAAAATGGTGCCCACTATGACGCCTAAGGCGTACAGCGCGGAAAAAAGCCGGGCCAAGCAGCGCCCGAGGGATCGAGGTTCAGGGATCGGCCTCCGAGGCTCGAGGTCTGAGGGTGGCGGTCCGCGAGGGATCGAGGTTCAGGGATCGGCCTCCGAGGCTCGAGGTCTGAGGGTGGCGGTCCGAGGATGGAGATCCGAACATCGACGTTCGATGGCGGAGGTCACAGGATCGTGGCCGGAGGTCGAGGACCGAGGGTCGAGGCTACCAGGTCGGAGTTCACAGGATTCGGTGATCTAGGTGCGAGGATCGAAGGTTTCGAGGATCGAGGTCCGTGGGCCAAGGATCGAAGATCACGGGTCGACGATTGAGGTGACAGGACCGAGGACACAAGTTCGAGGATCCAGGATCGAGGTCCCAGGACAGAAGTTCGATGATCAAGGATCACGAGCCGAGGTCCGAGGATATAGGTTCTATGACCGATGTTCGCCGATCGAGGGCCGAGGTTCGAGGATCGGTGATCGATGTTGAGGATCGGGGTTCGATCTCCGAGGAGCGAGGTCTGAGGTTCGGGGTCAGAGGATCTAGGTCCAGAGATCGAGGCCCGAGGTTTGAGGTTCCAGGATGGAGTATCGGGTCCGAGGATCGAGGACGTGAAGGGGCCCAAGGACACACAAATAAATACACACAAATAAAAGGATTCCCGGAATTTTCCCAAATGTTCTGGGTTCTTGTCTTCCCCACCACTTCCCATATTTTCCCATATTTTCCTGGGGATCGACGATGAATTGTGTCTGTGTGTTTTTTCCCCTCCTCAGGATGGACGTTGGAGGTCTTAGTCTTAGGATCCACGTCTGAGGGTCGATCTTCGAGGACCAACATTCGAGGATCGACGTTCGAGGATGACTGTTGGAGGAACGAAGGTCGAGGACCGTGAGTCGATGATCGACGTCCAATGCTCGAGGCCCGATGTTCGAGGATTCGACGTCCGAGGATCGGGGCTCGAAGATGAGGGTGCGAGGATCGAGACCCGCGGACCGCGAGGGAGGCTCTGGAATCGATGCCCGAGGCCTGGGGATAAGACACTTTGGGAGGATCGATGCGACCCCCCTCCCAGCCTTGCGCATGCAAACGGCGACTGGGCCCCAAGACGGACGCCGGGGCCCCGGGGGCACGCCGCGCGTCCTTCGCCGTCTGGCACGATGCTATCGTGGTCGGCCTGGGCAGGGGGGTGGCCCCTGATGGGGCGGCGTGGCAAGCAGCGCTCCATGACTAATCTGAAGGGGCCCAAGGACACACAAATAAATGCACACAAATAAAACGATTCCCCTATATATTTTTCCATCTTTTCTGGGTTTCTGTCTTCCCGCCCACTTCCCAGATTTTCCTACATGTTCTGGGAAATCGAGGATTAATTGTGTCTGTGTGTTTCTTCTCCTCCTGATAATCGCCGTTATGTGAACATCAGCCGGGATTCCGCTAGAGTTGTGGATGCCACGACAGTGGACACCCTATCAGTCCTATCATGGAACTCAAGATGTGTTTAAAATGTCGGATAGATGTGCTAAACATGTTTCAAACATGTTTGTTTACATGCTCAAAACCATGTTCTAGACATCTGGGAATCACTTGGCAACATGCTTCCTCTCCACCGATCGTCCTCCACAAGCCTGGGCAGGGCGGGGGGAGCCCCAAGGGGGCGGCATGGCAAACAACGCCGCATGACTGCTCGCCGTTATCTGAGCATCAGCCGGGGCTCCGCCAGAATCGATGCCGCGCTCGTGCGAGCGTGGCCCTCGCGCAGGGCAAGCGGGCCACGGGCGCGGAGGCGCGACCCGCGGAGCGAGCCGGGCGCCTCTCGCGCAGCTGTGCACCCGAGGTGGCGCGCCGTGGCTCCAGCCGCGCGGGGTCCGCGCTGGCCGCGCGGAGTGGCAGTCTGCCCCGGCCGCCACCGTCACGCCATCGCTCGGACGTCCATTCCCTGTGCGTTTGTCGGTTTCGTGCGTGCATTTTTTTCGCCAGGTGGACCAAGATGCTCCTCGATGGTCCTCGCCGAGAAAACATGCACACGTCCGAGCGATGCCGAGCTGTGGTGGAGGCAGCCCGTCGCCTTGTTGAGGACGTACGCGGGCCGCTGCACAGCGCCCTCGAGCGGAGCGCTCGCGCTCGAGATGCGCTGCAGCTCCGCCTGCCGCTGGCGGTACTCGCGGGCCCTGGCCTCGATCGCTGGCGACGCGGGCCTCAGGCGCGCCGTGGTCCAGCACGGCGCGCCCGTCAGCGACGAGCGCCGAGAGCGGCTCGGCGAGGGGCGGGGCCGCCGATGATGCTGAAGCGCTGCTTCTGGCCCTGAACTCCGTCGCGAGGCGCTTCGGCGGCGCCTTGGCGACGCAGTGCCGCATGACATCGCTCCCCCACGGGGCGAGAAAAACGACGAGGGGCGGGCTGATGCCCATGGCGGCAGGCCTGTGCGAGCCCGAGATACGGAACGAATGTCCGCCATAGCGGTTGTGACCCAAATCGTCCATTGCGGCGCGGCTGGCCCAGCCGCGTCGCGATTCACGATGGCCTCGGCGGTGGCGACGACGTGCCGCTTCTCCGCCACGACGCGGGTCGCCGTTGGGAAGAGCGGCAGATACTCGGGCAGGCCACCGAAGATCTGCTTCTGTGCCTCCAGCTGCTCCACGATGGCGCGGTAGGACGCACGGCGCGTCGCAGGGGGGGGGCACCGTCGCACGCGCGCCCCCAAGTGCAGGAACAGCCGACGGCACGAGGGTCGGTTTTGCTGATTGGCAGTGCCACTGCCGCCTCCATGGCCGCGCTGTCCAGCATGACGGAGCGCGCGAGGCACAGAGATGCTTCGACCTCGCGGACGAACTCGCAGAGGCGGCCTGGCCCGACAGGGCCGCCGCGTGCCAGCGCGTCGCTGCCGAGGTGGAGCTTGAACGCGTTGTCGAGGTCGATCTCGGTGTCCTGCTTCGGCCCTTACGCCGCGCATCCCAGACCTGGATGCGCGGTGGGCCTCGCGAGCGAGGGAATCGTCCCACTCGAAGCCCTGGCCCGCGCGCGCGCCCTTCGCCGCTCTGATGTAGGTGGGTACCGCGGCGCACCCACGGCCCCTAAGCTGGCGACGCACCGCGCCCAGCTTCTCCGCGGTGATGGGGTACACGGGTAGACCGTTGCCGAACCACCTCGCGTGGAAGCACTTCCAAGTCGCCAAGATGGAGGTCATCGCCCCCCGTGTGCCCGCGGCACAAGCTTCGCCGCGGTGCCGGAGCAAAATGGTATCCCGCGCGGCTGCCGTGGGCGGCTCGGTGGGCCTCTACGCCCACGCAGCCGCGACCGGCGCGTCATTGCGCGCGGCGATCGCGCGGGGAATCACGGGAGCTGGCGGGCCTGGCGCCCCCGGGGCGCGCGGAGACGGCGCGCGCGCGCCCCGGAGGCTGCCCGAGCCACCGAGGGGGGCAACGGCAAGGCCTCCGATCGGCGCGGCGTCCAGAGCGACGAGCGGCCAGCACCTGGGGGACCTGCTGGGGCGCGCTGGCATCGAAGGGGCCTGCGGGGAGGTCTGCAGGCTCTGGTTCCGAACGTCCGTGCGCGGCCGCTGCGCGAATGCGCACTTGAAGCCTCTCGGCGGCCCGCGCCCCCCCATGGATCAACGAACGCGCCGTCCAAGGGAAAGAGGCGGCGCGGCCCCAGGGAAGCGCTCGCGCGGCGCGAGCCAAAGCGGCCGCGGGCAGCGACGCAGAGAGGAGCACCTCGCACCGCCTGGCCGATTAGCACGATGTCATCGCGATCGGGCCAGAGCCCCGGAGAAAGTCCGCCGACCCCAGAGGCGTGCGAGGGAAAGCGATCCAGCTCGGGCACACCCCCACCCCAGGTAGCCTCCATCACGCCCTGGCATCTCTCTCCATGGAGTTTCTGTCCTTGGGACCTCCCACCTCGCACATCTCTCGCCCAAGGACGATTCCCGCGCCCCCTCCAGGCCCCCACCAAGAGCCGGCATCCACACCCCATGGAGCGTCTGTTCTTGGGACCCCCCACCCCACCATGCCTCTCCCACAAACGACCCACACTTCCCTCCACACCCCCCCACCAAGCCCCGCCATCCAAACTCCATGAACACGATCCACGCCCCCCTCCAGACCTCCCACCAAGCTCCGGCATCCAAACCCCATGGAGCTTCTGTTCTTGGGACCCCCCACCCCACCATTTCTCGTCCAAAAACGACCCACGCACTCCCTCCAGAGCTCTCACCAAGCCCCGGCATCCCAATCCCATGGAACCTCTGTTTTTTGGGACCCCCCACCCCGCCATTTCTCACCCAAAAACGACCCACGCCCCCCTCCACACCCCCCAACACCCCCCAGGCTCACGCGCCTTCCACCACGCTCCCACCAGGCCTCGGCACCTACATCCACTGAACCCTTTGAGCTTCGGATCTCCCACTCCACCATTTCTCGCCCAAGACCGACCGACACCTTCCACCTAGCTTCCACACCCCTACCCCTGGGAGCTTTGTTTTTAGAATTTTCCACCTTACGAGTTCTCTTCCAAAACCGACCGACCCCCCCCCCATGCCTCTGGGTTCTGTTCTTGAGACCCCCCTACCTCACGATTTCTCGCCCCAAACCGACCAACGCCCGCCTCCATGACCCCCCACCTGGCCCCGACACCCCCATGCCTCTGGGCTCTGTTCTTGAGACCTCCCTACATCACGATTTCTCGCCCAAGCCCGACCAACGCCCCCCTCCATGACCCCCACCTGGCCCCGACACCCCCATGCCTCTGGGCTCTGTCTTTGAGACCCCCGTACCGCACGATTTCTCGCCCAAAACCGACCAACGCCTCCCCTCCATGACCCCCACCTGGCCCCGCCACCCCCATGCCTGTGACCTCTGTTCTTGAGACCCCCCTACCGCACGATTTCTCGCCCAAAACCGACCAACGCTCCCCTCCATGACCCCCACCTGGCCCTGACACCCCCATGCCTCTGGGCTCTGTTCTTGAGACCCCCCTACCTCACGATTTCTCGCCCAAAACCGACCAACGCCTCCCTCCATGACCCCCACCTGGCCCCGACACCCCCATGCCTCTGGGCTCTGTTCTGGAGGCCCCCCCACCTCACGATTTCTCGCCCGAAACCGACCACCGCCTCCCTCCATGACTCCCACCTGGCCTCGACACCCCCATGCCTCTGGGCTCTGTTCTTGAGACCCTCCTACCTAACGATTTCTCGCCCAAAACCACCTGGCCCCGACACCCCCATGCCTCTGGGCTCTGTTCTTGAGACCTCCCTACATCACGATTTCTCGCCCAAAGCCCGACCAACGCCCCCAATGACCCCCACCTGGCCCCGACACCCCCATGCCTCTGGGCTCTGTCTTTGAGACACCCCTACGATTTCTCGCCCAAAACCGACCACGCCCCCTCCATGACCCCCACCTGGCCCCGACACCCCCATGCCTGTGACCTCTGTTCTTGAGACCCCCCTACCTCACGATTTCTCTGCCAAAACCGACTAACG